GGTGTTGTCCAATATGTAAGAACGTCTGTGTGTGCGTGGGTGTCAGCACAAGGCTTGCTGCTACCTTATCGGCGGATAGACCGTCGATGTCAGCTGAGTCACCTTTGTGGGCCGTAAATTGTATGTGTAGTGGCGGCAGGACGAGTTTTGGGAACGAGGGCCTGACTGTGAGCTGTGTAGTCAAATGGGTCGCGGTTGTGTGGAGTGATTTGAGTGTAAGAAAAAAAATAGTTCTCATGGTCCAGCGAGTGGCGATGACCCGTACAATCATGTATGTGGCGAAAGGGTAGCTACAACGTATCTTCCTTCTCGGGCTTTTCTGGACTGAGACATCAGGTTCAAACTCCTGATTCATCTCATTCTCGATTTTGTTTACGAAAACATTCTGCACGAAAGTTAACTCGGATGGATGCAGCGAGGTAGTGGACAGAAGTTCCATGCTGGATATACTCTCTATGGGATCAATGTTTAATCAGTCATGACCACTAACGCTCATGGCTTGCCTCTACGTTCACCTGCTCAGTCCCAATAAGAACGGACCATATCGTGTGACTGAGGTTCTTGATATCCATTCAATAAGACTTCCAGCCTCAAACCATTATACCACCACGGTATGATGAATGGATGAGTACTGATCCGTGATCAATACCTAAGGCGCGAATTTACTGACTGGAAGGTTCTTGTTTTGAACCCAGCGTCGATATCTCAACTGCTCCTGTCTAGGCTTGGGCAACTTGGCTGTATCTCAGGTCTCGTGCCCCTTTTGGGTGGTGTGACAACTAGGCACGTAAATGGTCTTACAGCTTAACGTTTTTTTTATTTTCTTATGACTCATGCATTTATATTCCCCAACGAACCAAAAGCATGTCAGCACCAACCTTGAAAAGGCGACAAAAAGGTGTTCGATGGGGTGGAAATCAATTACTGCGCAGGCCAAGGTTTTAATCGCGATGGTATGATCGAATACATCCATATAGGCTATTTGAGCCTGTTCAATATAAACTCACATCCTCTTTCATTTCTTTCACATTCGGCTACTTAGGTCACTAACTTGCAAAGTTCAGGGTTAGACCTCTTAATCGGAGGGTTTGAATTGATCTGTGATTTCTCGCTTGTTTTACCCGAACGCACGAACTCACTACGGCAAAAGTTCGTTTATTTCTCCGTACAAAACTGTACTACTTATCTCCCTTCGAGCATCCCTTCATCTTCAGGCCCTGAAGGCAGAAGCCTACCTGGACAATACTCTGTCACGCTTCATCCTTTTTCGTGCGCTGCGTAACCCACTTCAAATTGGCCTGCAGTTCTTTTGGCTTCTTCGTTCCGAGATCCACCTACCGGACATGCGACTAAAGTTTGGCCTCCTACTTGAAGCCTTCTGTCATGGATCTGGACCATTGTTAACTTTTCTCGCACGTCAAGTGACAGCGCTAAAGCGACTGGAAACCATCAGCGCTCGAGTTAAGGAATACGGTAATGAAGATGAACAGCGTGCACAGTTCCGCAAAGAGATCTCCAGGGCTGAAGCACGACGTGATCTACAGTGGCTCCCTTCGCCAATGTGCCTGAGTCAACGCTTGGGTAAATTGGTTGTTAGCAAGTGTGATGTGAAACGTTCAAAGAAACGTCCATTATGGTTGGTGTGGACCAATCCAGACAGACTAGCGATTCATCATCTTAGTCAGTACCAGTTGATTTTCAAACACGGAGATGACCTTCGACAAGATATACTAACTTTGCAGCTCTTGCGAGTAAGTAATGGCGTGTGGCTATAGCATTTCTATCCCTGTTTGTGTGAATCCGCTTGTTGACCTAAAATAACCAATGTGTAACGATGTGCTGGTATCATGGAAAAACTAGAATGAGTTCTGTTTTCGAGATATCTTTTTGGCGGAAAGTTTGTTTCTGTCAATCAATTGGGCCGCAGTTTACCCAGGGCGATTGTAGTGTAGCACTAACGCTTTGCATTTTTGCCCGTTTTCCTCCACTTTGGCTCGAAAATCTTCAGTTTTTTCCATGAGAGTTGAAACTAACAGACCGTTGGGTAACTAAAAGTTGACATACTTTTATTACTTGATATTTAGGAATTAAGAACGCTCCTGTGCGTGAAGCTCTTCCGATGGTGAATGTGTGGTGAATAGTGTCAGTCATTGTTATATTAGAGGCTTAGCAAACAAACGATGCTGCCGTGATACTCGAGGGAAGTATGTGAACTGAAATACTGCCAAGTTTCCCAAGCCTAGACAGAAACAGTGGAGATGCCGAAGTTGTGTTTGAAGTACGGACCCCCTAGCCAGTAATCTCACCTTGATCACTGAGCTATCTCGAGCAGGACATCAGGTCACGTGATTGACACACTCATTAAAGCTTCTACGCGTTGAACAGGAATACGACCTAAATTCGCGGCTCTTGCGTCGGAATTTGAACCTTAGACCGAAGTGGATAAGGTTTAGTATTACGACCGGCATACGGCGGAATGTCTGACAGTAGTGGGCTGGCGTCCGTTTCCGGATTTGCCTATCGCATTAGACCACACCGATGGACCACTGCGTACAGCAGGTGATCCCAAATGTAGTTAACCGGAGCCCTGCGTGTAACCAGTTTAGTTGGGTGTTAATCTTAGGAACAGGTCAGACGCACAGAACGTCGGAGTGGGGTACCAATTTTTCATGCACAGTTTGCAGTTGAAGATAATATTAGTAGCTCAGGTTGTGATGGTGAGTGACTATTGGTTTGTTTGGTGCGCTAGGCAATTTGGTCGTGAACGTTTTACCATCAATCGCGGAGACAACATAAGTGGGTTGTGTATGCGAGTGCGTAGTTATAGGGCGCACTTGGATTGATATATATTCTGCCCACCCAGTTCAGCCAACCAACACACGGCCATCATGTCCGTCTATTGTTTACGGATAGAAGGGTAAGTATTACCGCTGAAGGCCCTATTCAGATGAAACGGACTTGAAACTGTCCCATGCAAGCCGATTACGGGTCCAAATCAAATTAATTTATTGGCTCTTGGTAACCCCAGGGGCTAGAGTGGGTCCCCCTACTCTTTGTGAGGAATTTCGTCTTTATTTCCAACGAAACACAGTACTTGGTACGATTAAGGATAGACCGTAGTTCTGCCGTATCTTTAATGAAGACTATGATATCATTGGCATAATCAGCATCCTTGATCCATGTGACCAGGGAAGTCGCGGGTGTGAAATTGAAGGGCATCAGCGAAAGTAAGTAGCCTTGCCGAACGTTGTAGTGTCCTCTCCATATACTTGGATGCGGGCTTTCGTGCCTGATGAAAATCAGAATCTTTATCAGCAATCCATCAGCTTTCAAGGCAGATCAAGGACAACTTCTCTGTGCCTCAGCCCTCATGCCTTCTTCGAGTTGCGCGGCAACTATGCACTGATAGGGCGCTGGACGAACTTTTGTTCACAAATGGCATTGTAAAATGTTGCGCGGAAGCCAATGAAGCAAGCGACGGCTGGTTGCTGGGACTTCTAGTCGTGGTCCAAAGCACGCAGTAACGGGAATGCTTGGCCAATGCGAACTCGTCTTGTACGAAAGCCTCTCAGATTAATTCTGTGAAATTATCACCCTCCCCTGTGGCGGCGAAAGTAAAACTCCTGGCTGCGATATCTATCAGGTTGATACCCCGGTATACCGCAGTAGATGACTGAGGCCAACAAAGCATGGCTGACTTGTTGTTGCATACTACCAGTAGCCTTCTGCTCTTTCGCTCTATTTTCTCTAATTTTCTTGATGAGTCCGGTGGCATCACTCAAGTTTCGAAGACCCAGTGATCTTGTTGGTCTTCGATAACCCTCACTGTGCTTGTCAATTGTATCGCATCAGTTGTTTGTATTAATGTACATGTACTGAATTAGGTGGACACTACTCTGATTCTCGGCAGGTAATGGATCGTATCTGGAAAAACGAAGGGATGGACATGTGTCTCGTACCGTACGGCTGCCTGGCTACGGGACCGGAAACGGGCCTCATCCAAGCCGTTCGTGACGCAAAAACGGTAATGGCCATACAGCGCGAACGTCTCCGCGCGGCGCTGCAGATCGACAATACGCAGTTGTTTAAATGGCTCACGCGTTATGTTCGAAAATCTCCGTCCGGTAGCAGCACACTAACCAACCATGACCTAGGCGTTCCCTACGATCGTTTGATCCAAAATTTCACGCGCTCTTGTGCCGGATATTGTGTGGCGACATTTGTTCTAGGTATTCGTGATCGGCATCCGGATAACATTATGGTAGACACGATTGGTCGTTTGTTTCACATCGATTTTGGCCACATTTTGGACAATCGAAAAAAAAAATTCGGCATCACCCGGGAGCGCGTGCCGTTTGTACTGACCAAAGATTTCATCACAGTTATTGCTCACGGAAACGCAGACGTAGTGTTGGGTGCACCGGTCACCGACACCGGTGGGGGCGGATCTCGTGACATCCACCTGCAGAAATTCGCCCAACTTTGTGCAGGCGCCTATATGTTGTTACGCAAGCATGCAAACATACTGCTCACGTTGCTCGCCATGATGCTCCCCTCGGGCTTGCCAGAATTGACTTCGGTGTGTGATCTGGAGCATGTTCGCAAAACACTTGCCGTCGAGATGGATGATTCACAAGCGTTGGCGTACTTCCACTCAAAATTTAACGAGGCATACTACGGTGCATGGACTACAAAAATTGATTGGTTTGGGCACTGGATGAACACGTAAGCCGACTGGTGTATCCCTGCACATATTATCTGAAAACCGGAATTTGTGACCTATGCTTGACTCTATGCCTTTTTTATAACTTGTACAGAAAATACCTTCCTCGCGGACATAATTGACCTTACACTCGCTTGTTGTCTTTGCAGCAATAATTCTCAGAGCAGATTAAATTGGATAGACATCGTGGGTTCACGTTCATCAGTTATAATAACGGTACTTCCTCAGCACGGTCTGAACCTTTCAAGCTGGCGTCCCCGTCAAAACAACCACCAAAGGTTCACGTGTATTAAGGCCCAAAACGAAGTCAAAAACATACAGCGCGTCGTTTATAAGGTGTATGTGCCGACAGTAGCAACCGGCGGATAGCGGACCATGATTGGCTGTTGGGTCCAGACTTTCGGCCAAACGGGGCTCGCCTTGATGATGGAATTGCAAACAGCCCGATCTTCCGGTGTGATAGGCTTCATCGTTGTGGCAGCTCGAGTGGTATCAGTGCGAAATTCCGCTTAACACTTCCATGACAGCACTGACCAATGACATTTCACGCGGATGTTGTAGTTGTTTCGATTGGCGCAGACGAATGTGGATGAATGAGATTCAGCTGGGTTCCAAGTGAGTCTCTCATCAAAACCAAATTAGTGTATCATCCCGGGGTGAACACCATGCCTTCTATAAAATGTGAATGTAACGGACATTCTCTCTCGTAGTTGACAGTACTTAAATCATTTCCAATGAAGAATTCCGTTTTTTTTTCTAGAGAGGAATATCTATTGTATGTGTAACTATGACATAGCGAGTCATCAGAACGACCATCTCTTGAAACCGGCATGCACACAGGAAAAAGTCAGTGGAAAAACGCGAGCCTTCAAGTTGACACCGACCGAACAGCAAAAGGCGTGTTTAGAAAAATAGACCAGCTCCCTAAAAACAGGATTATACAAGAAATAGAAGACGATTTGTAAGCCCGAGATTAGTGAGTCTCAAGACGTGATGGTGGCGCGCTGGTGAGTTCCATAACACAGTGAAAGGTAGTTGCACTCGAAAAATAAACAAACAAAAATAGAGGTCGGAATGATAAATCGCATTCAAGGAATTTGGAGATGGCGAATATTGATACCGGGGGTCGGGGGAGCAAACATTATGGCTGTAGTAGGCAAGATACGGAAGACAGGTTCACTTTTGCATGACGTTAGGACCAGGAATTGGTGCGAGTGTGTTCGGTGTAGACGATGACATAGCGGTCGGGTCGGTGGTGGAAGAACGACGACGACCGCAAGGGTGTTGTTTGCGGGTAGAAGCACCATTACCACCGATGAGAGACTGGGCGAGGCAGTTGAACAATCGAGAATGCAGTGGCGCGTTGTTCAGATCTGAAGCCGTTACACGTCGCGCAAAACTGGATGAAACAGGTCCAGAGTAACTCGATATTCGCTCCAACCGAGAACCGGTACGTAGCTGACAAGGGAAACAAGATCTTTATTTAATTGTTTAACGCGGGGACACTGAATGTAAGCTATCGGACTCCATACAGCGGAGCACGACGTACAGCAGTGGTGTCAAGGATCAAACATACTACAGGAGTAGACAGTTTTGATAGTTATTTTGTCGACCATTGAGCCGTTTTTTTCTAAATATAACAATGGGGAGCGTTGTTGTTAGCCCGAACATTATAACAATCCAAATCAGCATATCAGTGAAACGATTCGGAATACGGCAACAGGATGCATTCACTGACGAAATCACTCACCACTTCAGGTGCTGCCGAAGCAGTAGAATTCGCGCCGGCTAATCCACGGCGAAGATTGCTCCTGAAACCACGTGCCTTGGTTAGCATAGATCGGTGCTGTGCCAAAGTTTCGACAGCTGTGCTTGAGCGTAGTTCTTGTTCTACTTCCGACAGAGCCTTAGTTTGAACCAAATCGATGGTGACATAGTTCACACCGGAAGTGGGTTTGGGATCCGTATCTGATGTGGTGGATACGGGAAATATATTGGGCGAGAAAGCGTTGGGGACAGATTGAATACCGTGCAGGTGCCCTGAAAGATGATCGCCTGCAGGTGAGTTGGTGAACACTGATGAAGGTCCACTGCCATTCGAACACCGGCTGGTTAGGTTACTGGACAAAGTGAGATGGGCGTAGTGGAGGCGGACTGTCCCCTCACTACCGGATGTATCGCAAGAAACGATGGTTGATGGAGTAGAAGTTAGTGATAGAGCACTAGGAACAGAAGAACAACCTGGTGTATGCATGTTAAGGATTGTTGCAGACTCGAGGGATGGACACTCCAAGGAAGTAAAGTTGGGTTCATCTGGGCTGCAAGAAAAAAAAGGAAGATTACACTATACACGGTTGCCTATCGCGCGCGTTCTGGCAGTGTGCATATTATCAAGTGAAAGACAGTAGACAGCTTGAACGTTACTGCTTGTTGGTCTCCGCTATGAAGAACTTTCCCCTTCGCTACTCCAGTTTCCCCACAAATCATAATGACTCTGAAAGAAATGCGTGCTTAGTTTACGCGATCGTCCAAAAAGGATACTTCACATCCTTTCGGTGTCTAGCTGCTGCACCAACCACTAACCATTGCATCATTTTGAGCTCCTGAAATATTTAATTAGTAGTCGCTGGTGGGCGCATCGACGTTTGAGGATCACTCCATTCGATCAAGGGTGATCGACAGAAGCGATACGTACTTCTTCCCCCAGATTCTCTGACCGTTAACGTATTGACAGAATCGTGTTCAGAATGTGGCAAACGAACCAGGCTGACAGGCCTTAAGGCCATTCACCACTGATAGGTTTGTTATATTTTCCGGGGAGCGAAAGGCCATCCAGTAGATAATAAGCGCAGTGAGAGCGAACAATACATTTTCCAGAAACCATGGTGTTAACAGTACGATGGCTAAATATGTCTATTCGTCAGCGGAGAATCGTGAGTCACACAAACTTGCTTTCAACGATTAGTGCTCGTCTGGTAATTCTACACAGTATGGGTCGGCTTCAAACACGGACTGGTGGATGACCCGAGTATTTATTGTAGCTAACAATCAATGTCACCTGACAGCATATTTACTAAACTGCAAACCAGAAAAACATTAATTTATCAGCGCCGCGTAAAACAGTTTTGAGTATGAAAGACTTACCCAACGGGAATACCACGCAAACCTCGGCACCGACTGCTTGAGGAACAAGCGAGTTGCGACGGTGCAAGATTGATGTAACATTGGGCGACAGAAGATATGGCAGAATTTGAGCTAGCCGGGGATCCTATATCCACCGGCGGTGACGCCGTGGCACTGCATGAGAGATTCGTCACATTCGTTTTACACAACTCATTCACGTTGACGTAGCTGCATAGCATACCGACAGAACAACTGCCTTCTGGTGGAACGGTCGGTCCATTGATATCCAAACACTGTCGTCGAGCTATTGGTTGAGTAAGCGCTGACCGCATGGCCTGTCGTTCGTCTATCGGTTGAAGACATGCTCGTCGAGACGGAGGAACTACGTTAATGTAGGACCTGTGTAAAGCGACAGTAAGTTAGCAAAAGAACAAAAAATAAACTATGGTAAGTGGTGGCCAGTGAAGTATGTGTATCTTCCGAAAACTAATGCAATGCACCACATTATTACTATCCATACGAATATAAGAACGTCAGTGAACCGAAAATAGCCTTATCCAGTGGGTTGGGTGAGGAAAATTTAGTTAATGTACATTACACATAGTCATACAGTGGCATACTTTCGGTATTATATAACTGCCGCAAGATTGCCGGACATAGGCTTCCCAACCATTTCGGTGCCCAGCTGCCGTGCCACCCGAAGGAATCACGGGAACTGAGATACTGCCAGGTCACCCAAGCCTGGATAGGAGTGGTCGAGATGGTTCGAGCCACGGACCTCTCAGTCATTGATTCCACGCTTTAACTGCTGAGTTACCTTGGACCCAGAGAGGAGCAACTGAAAAGCCTGTACTAAGCCTCAGCACATCAGATTCAGACGGCTAGCGACCAGATATCTTCCTTGAGGCGCTTCATCACATCTAAATATTGCTGAGCTACAGAAACTTCCTGAAACACTACATCTTTCCTTACGGTAGCTTAACCGAATGCGAAGTGTCACTTAAGTATATACGAAGACGTATTGAAGTGGCTGAAGTTACATTGTCAGAAAGCGAATGATTTCCAGTGAAAATTTATGATTATTCTTGTCGGATAACTCCTCAAGGTGTAGAGTGGACAGAAGCAGCTCCATGCAACCGAAGAGTGATTATTCATCCAAAATAAAATTCCCGACCACAGAGAATCGAAAGAACGCTCGATAATCCAAATTTCGACCTCTATCGCCATTTTCAATTTCGTTACTGAACAGACTGAGGCAACGCCGTAGAACTAAAACTCACGGCTCCACTTTTGTGAAATGTTTTTTGGTGAGGTGCAGCGAAGCTGGAATGGCGAAAGGCTGTTTCTCAAGGAGCATTAAAGTCACTGATTAAAGACAAATAAATCAATTTACCTAGTCAAAATGGAATATTTCATCTACCTTAGCCTACACCTCACTTATCCCTTGACGTCACAGACAACGGTAATCCAGCATTTGGTTCGTTTCGAGTCATTAACACGGATCGCACAGATGTTCAGTGTATTCATGCGATGTATATATCCAACCACGACTACGGTAAACAAATCTCATCATCAGTAAATTGTTTTCGGATAGGATACATCAAGATGCATTCATGTAATACAGAAAACAGGAAAATGAGAAACATTCATCTAGAAAATTGGGTCGATATCGCCAAGGTTGTTCACGGGACTTCGTTCGAGATCAGTGCAAGTGTCTGAAGAGTACCAATCACATCAGAATAAAATAAACTATTAAACAATACTTTGTTCACCTGAAGGATATTTGACCGACGTGATGTGTAGGTAAAAGGGTAAAGCTTCAGAGAAGACAGAGAACAACAACCAGTCGTTTTAGCAGGGTATTCGTATAATTTGAGAGCACTAAGATTACCGAGGCATAACTGCCTCATAAGACATAATGATTTAGCTCCTCAGTAACGAGTCGCAAGCGAAATTCGTTCATACACATATAATCCAAAGAAGTAGCGAAAGCAATACAGCTTATAATGGGCTGGGATCAAGTCCATGTGATCGATGGAAAGCGTGGGAAACGCGAGTTGAAGAACTGTACCAAGCAAAGGATGTATCTCGAGAAATCACCTCGATGGGTGACATCTTAGATGAGATATTCAATTAACTACCTGAGTGCAAATAGTAGCAAAAGCCGAATTAAATAAAAACAAAGTATGTACTTCACGAACGGTCGCATTTGGAGTGCGGATTCTTATAGTGCGCGCAAGTCGGACTCTACAGTCCAGCCGGCGGTTCACTGCTTACCGTCTTCGCTAGCCCAGAAAACGGTCCCAAGAACTCGAATCAACTTAGGACCAGATTAATTCCATAGTCCGACGACAGCTGTCTAACCATCCTTCACAAGTCCCCTTCTGCCATCTAGACAGTACTCGGTCGCGTAAGCTTGGTAGGTGAATCCCCGATTGTCTCAGTGAGGTAGCTAGGTAGCTGGGACTGTATATTTATTGGATGGCAGACTACCCGAACACTCACTGACCTTGGAAGCAAAGCTGTACTATTGTGCAGCTAAGCGTGTCTCTCAGAGGTTAGACTATCCAACTCTGGATCACAATCTACTATCGTCATTGGCGCCAAGCCTCGAGCTGGCCTTGCATTTGACAGACACTGAGTAGGATTTATCCTGGGCTCAGTTGGTAAAAGAGCATGTTCCGCAACAAAGCCCTCAGAAATTAACAGACTGGTGTTGAACCCAGTAAACTACCCATGAACATCATCATCGTTGACAGCATGACATCAGCGATCAACACCGATACTTCGCTGCCGTACAACCATGATTTTTTTGAAAGCCTTATTGTGATGAAAAGAATAAAGATGGATGGGGAAGGAGCTTAGTACGACCTTATTACTCTTCGATGAAAGTCCCTGTTGCACAACCGAAAATTCGCTTTCTAACTGCTTCGCTACGGATTCGTCGACGCCAACCCACACGAGCTATGGTTCTGAGACAACGGTTGTCGAATACCTGAAGACGTCTCAATTCCGCTGCTCAAACACGCCAAGTCCCACAGACATACAACAAAACAGTCCGCACGGCAGCATGATACACACGTCTCTTGAGATTCAAGGATACACCATTTTGATGTCATGGGTGTCTCAAATCAGCAGACGCGACCCGGGCCTTACAGATCCGTGCATTAACCTCATCTGTCATACCACAATCATTACTAGCACAACTTCCAAGATACGTAAAACGCTTCACAACTTCGAATGCCTCTCCTTCGATTGTAAGTAACGAAACTAAGGTTTGCGTAAATGGCACTACAAGATCGAACGAGAAAATAAGGTACTGTCACAATTTATACATGATTTACCTGGCCAATGCGGGATCCTGACACGCACCACCAAGTTGATCGGTGCTGCACAGTTTCCTGGAAGAGCACGTCAAATCCGAGGAACATGAATGCGCACGAGGATCGGTGCAGTAGGTGTGGGTTAGTGGAGTCGTAGAGACTACTTTTTGATCGTCAATCAGCGAACCAGGCTGGTCCGCGTTTCGAAGCGATGCCATGTCGTCTGATGATGACATGAAGAATAAGAAATTGCAGTCGCTCGGGGTAGAGTAGTATAGTATAGTATAGTATATATAAATACGACCAGTTTCTATGAGATAAGCGATAAAGGAACGTCACACTTTCTTGCATAAGGATCTCTGCAATTCAGTTTCAACTTCGATCGGAATTTACAGAAGGAACAGGACCAATAAGTTTAGCTACTGATGACTTGTTCAAGTCGGTTTACAGGCCCAATAATAAAAAGCTACCGTCAAGACAATGGTTTATTGAGTTTGAGGGAGAATCAACCGGGTCCGAAAAGCTTACCGCTTTCTCCCAAGGCCTCCGGGACAGGAGTACATGGATGTAGTTGTACAAAAGATGGTCCTACAGAAGCCATTGCCGGCATCGGAGTGGAACATGTTAATGGGCAATTACCGGACAGAGGCGGTGGTCCATCTGAAGGGCCCTCGCCTGAGGTCGGTGATGACGACTGAAGTTTCTGCTGAAGTCGTTTTTTTTTAGTGTGCCAGGCGACCAACATGTCCCGGGAGACGTAGTTGCCACCGGTACGTGGCTTCGCGTGAACTGGAGCATCCGCCCAAAGAGGAGCAGCAGAAGGAGAAAGTGACACGAGAGAAGCTTTGGCACTCAGATTCAGCACAGCACTTGCTGAGGGACAGTGATCTGTAGAGCAATCGGGTCCACCAGTACGAAACGGAGGAGACGATTCACTGGCGCTGGCGGTGTGATAGCGTCGGGGTGGAAAGTACTGACTTCCCGGAATGATGGTCGAATTGGGAAGAAGGGGTGTGAGAGCGTATTGTGGGGTATTGCCGTTTGACAGTGATAGATTTAGTAAGGGTGGAGGGTGGGCACGTCCTGACGAAGATCGCGGTTGAATCAATAGGCTGTGGCACTGTACGCCTATAAAGGTCGATGAAATTAGAATACGGTAGTGAAGCGTTTCGTGAGAATGTGATACAGTGAAATAATACGCTTAGCCAATTATCTCTGAAGGTAAGGACTAACCGAACAGGTCACAAAAATCAGGCCAGCGATTCAGATTAGTCTCGTAGCTGAGTTAGGTGCAACAACCTCATTCAACAAGGCAAGGAACGGTGAGAAATAAGGGTCACATAATGTAACTGGACTAGTTTACGTTCGGACGGAAATTAATTAGAGATATTTTAAACGACCATTCCATACCATTAGCTGAGCCTCGTGCCTGTGACCATGCTCGTCTTCACCAGGGAAAATTCCCGCACGAGGAAAAATCAATAGGCTGTAAGGCGATGGGGGCATTGGATTTTAATGACGCCAACCGTCAGAATCATCATCATCAAGGACAGCAACATCAGTGTTGCCACTGATGATTCACTGCTGTACGACTATAAGGTTTGTCTAGTTATATATATATATATAATTGTATTAAAAGCCCTAAAGTGAAAAGAAAGAGTGGGTGAGGAGGGGACCTAGTGCTGGCCTATGTCAAGCATACTGAGGTGCCTACACCTCCAACCGCTCAATCAGACAATCTGGAAAGAAACTGATAGCACGAACGTCACTGACATCGATTGGCCGCCATTTCTTGCGACGTCTCCAGCCAAGCACAGACGGGGTCACGGGGACCCCATCCTGGGAGGCGTATAACACCAACAACACCCAAACTCTTCGTCATCTCTTTGACGCCTTTCTGCCAAGTCATGTGCTGTCCACCTCGCGGTTTGCGCCATCCTGAAGGAGGCACTCGTCTCGGTAGAGGGTGTTTCGGCATGCGTAGCAAATGACCAAGCCATCGCAGTCGATGATGCTGGATGTTTTCCCGGATTGCAGTGCCTGCAGCACAACGAAATACCGTCAGAATCCTGATCACTGGTCCGACTCAACCGATTTTGGCAAACTATCGCGGGGAATGTTGGTAGCTCAGATTGTATAGCTGTTCGTTGTTCTTGTCCGTTGAGCTGGGTAATCTGTTTGCAAACGTCTCGTCAACAACCGAGGTGACATTATCAGTGCGTAGTGAGTTGGCGGTGCGTCGCACTGCGCTGGTGTGCAGGACACACCGACATACTTGATACTCGTCTCGATTATTTTTTTTTACTTTTGTTTTCGTTGTTCACTTGCCAAAGATGAAGATATGCATCCATGCGGTGCGTGCTAACACGCTAAGACCTGGTTTGACTTGTCTGGGGCCTGCCAATGAAATTATACACTGACAAAAACATTGCACGACAATCCTTGAGGACTTCGGTTACCGAATAGGACGACCGGGGAGTTCGATCTCCGATTCAATTCGTACGAATGAGTAGCAGACGCAGTGGTCTGCCGATGTACCGGCTGTTGCAGATACAAGTGGATAAATGAAGCCGTTTGCAGGCGAAACGAGACATGCGATGTGACGACGTTTCGGGTAGTCCCCAACCCGCGTTCTCTACAGTCAACCAAAAGCAAAGACAATGCGAGTTTCCCACTAAATAACGCACCATTCACGAAATATGGATATTACTGTATTCTTATTATCAAGGTCTGCTGTCCAGAACTGCACATGTCTTGAAATGACAACAACCCAGGTTCTTTCTATTCACAGCCTTTCCCATTTGGAATAATCTGTATGGGGTAGACAAAAAAACATGAGGGGAGGATGAGACTCCCATGATATAGTGAGGTCATTGCTCAGGCTGGGAATCACTCATTAAGCTAATCTTAGGCTTGCCGTCAAAACCGAACAACCACTCAATAAAATTCGGATTGGCACTCTACCAAGGTGATCAACTTTAAAATGACTCCTAAAGGACTGCAAACTGTGCGTGCGACAGGCGAGTCTCGTTGCAGACGGGGATCAATAATAACGACACGTTAACTAGTGACAAATCCACTAGGTACCCGAATTGATCGGTGGACGTGTTGGACAGAGTTACAGGGTGGAACTTTCAATCAAAAGGTCGCTTGCCCCATCCTTCTATGCTAAATAAAGACGAAGTCGCTCGGACGGTTGAGCTATTCGGGTGAAAAATCTGGATAAATTCCAAATCTACGGGGAGACATCATCAGAGCACAGTTGGGTGGGTACCTACTGTTTGTCTGCGTTCGTTTATATAGCATTCAAAGGCTATCTGTTACGTCCTAACATGATTGGCTGGTTGGTTGATAGCGTTTCCGTGAATTTACTGGTCCGTTCGCGATCACTGTTGCGTTGTGGCTTTCATTCTTTCAAGTCGATTGGTCACCCCAAAGTACTGTATTTTTGGCATTTTCCTCCCCCGTTCTGATTGACCTCTTCCTCGATTTGTATTGCGTTGTCGTCTGATTTTTTTTCGGGAGTGATTGGCTGGCTGCACCGCTCCATGTTCTCCGCTGTATTGACTGACATCCCTGCGTCCGTTGGTTAATTTGGTACTTGGTTTATTGCCTGGACGCCTCCCTCAATCTAAGTGACGTTTGGATCCGACTCACTTCTTTTACGAGTTCCTCGTCTGATTGCTTGCTTGGTTCAGAGCGTTCTCTTGCTCTTAGCGGTTGATAAATGCGGTCAATTTCAATATGCTTGTTGATAGCTTCTTCGGTGGAGTACCACATTTCCATAAAATCGCATTCCTTCTTCGTTCTCTCTTGGGCCAATATGTGAACGCCACGCCAGCCAAACTGGTGTCCTTCCTAATCTTTGTGCACGAAGATGAGAGAAGATTGAGTCTCTTCGTAGCGAGCATATGTTCATGTATTCTGGTGGAGAGCTTCCCTTCTGTTTTCCCATATATCGTTTATCGCAGTGCTTGCAGAGGATCTTGTATAGGACATTGCTCTTCATCATTAGATCTAGTTTCTTTTCTGTTTGATTGTGTCCTCCGCAAAGTGTTCTCAGGTTTGTAAGCCACCGTCGTGTTGTGCTGTTGTAAGAGCCTCGCGGTCATTTCGGCGGTGTTCGTGATGTACGGGAGTGTGACTCGTTTGCTTCCATTTTGTGCCGTTGTTATTCGTGTTTGGCTATCTCCAAATAAAAATTACTTGGGTATCCATTTCTCCGAAACAATGTGTACAGACGTTTTTCTTTTTCATTCTTGGATTCCGTTGTGCTGGAGTGTGTTTTGATCCGTTTGAAAAGTGTCCGAATGCAGCTCTGTTTGAGAGTTTGGGTGGTTGCTGGGGTAGCTCAGAATTTGGTACGTGCGCGTCGCCTTTCCGTAGACCTCAGTTTGTAGGTGCCCGTTCGGTAATCCAATGATGACGATGTCCAGAAATGCCAGCTTTCCGTTGTTCTGTTCTTCAAATGTGAATTCGATGTCATCAAAAACGTTTAGCAGCTGGCTTACTCGTTGCTTAATGATACTTAGGTGTTTCGTAGCGGAAAGGTTACCGTTGTAAACAATCTTGACTCAAACAGATGGTGATCAAATGATTCCAATAGTGTGCGCATTGCTACATGGAGGCTCCCAATGGTAGCCCCCGTGCAAGCTTCAGAGTAGTTTTATATCGTGAGCGATCGTGAAGGCGGTCGGAACATAATAAACATCTGAGCAGTTCATTAAGTGAGGGTTCATCGTCGTTTTGCGAGACCTGCTAGTCACATTTACTTTCGAAGACATGTGCACTTGTCCTTTTTCCACTTGAGATAGCGACGTATCGGCTAGGCATTCGATTCTGACTAACCTAAGCTACCAGACCGTCTATCGGAAAGACACTGATTTGCACCGTACAGTCATAATTTCGGCTGTAGCCGAATGTCTGAACCTAGGGGAGGTCACTGAGCAGGGATGAATTTCGTAACTGCCAGTATATCTCATTTGACCGTGTCGCAGACAGGGGGTAAGCCACCCACAGTGGATCTACATGGGCTGACCATAATAAGGCCAGAACCCACCTGAAGAAGCTCTAGCACATAAATAAAAAAACGTTTTTCTCAAAACACATGACTACCCAATCAGTACCAAACATTTTCCAATTTATAGGCCCCCGATGTTTGCTTCGTTCTAAAAACAAGCTAAATAATGAAAAGCATATTCGTTGGACTTCATACCCGAGGGAACGCCAAGAAAAATCTGGCGCAACAACTATACAAACAAGCTTAAGTTGTTTGTAATAAAATGAGGGAATGCACGGGAGCGCGTACTTCCAGGTTCCGGTAGAGACTGTGCAGCTCCCGCGGTGTTTGACCAGCTGCTCGGAAGCCGTCTCCGTCGGACGGTCGGACGATAGGTTGTCGACCCGGGAGGCAGTGAATCGGAGGGAGGGGACCACAAACGGTCAACCGAGGTGAGTGGACTAGCACAGTCCTCGCCAGCACCAAAAGCAAGATTGCACTGTGAACAGGTACAATAGGGACACCGAACATCGGACGTTATCGAGTCGGCTGCGCTGCCAGTAGAGCATTCACTCAAACGATTCTGTCGACTAGTATAAGAGTGTTTCGGTTCCCGAACAGAGTGGTCGGTTGACAAGTCTGGCAGTTTTTTAACTAAGCCAGTTGTTGTAGGTTTGGAAGAATGAGAATTCTGATCCAACGGAGGTTGCGAACTAGTAGATGTAACTCGTGGTTTGCGGAGAAACTCTCTTAGCTCTTGCAGGGACATTGGCATTGGTGAAATTGTGACGAGCTGGGGCTCGGACCTGTGGAATTAGAGAATATCGAATTAAGATATGATTGTCAAGAAGTTCGTATGCGGGGTTGTGAAAAGTTGCTCTATTCAATGGTTCTCGTCATAGCCCGCCAATCAAACACATATCAGCATCCTTCAATACATTGTGTCCCACCGATGCTTAGTCGAGTAAACCGTCAGCAGTGTTTGAACATAATTTATTCTCATAACTGAAAGTGACGTGTTGCGAAACAATCCTGCATGAACCGGAGTCTGGTAAGTCGGTAACGCCATGGTAAGTTCGGGAAACCGGGTAAAAGAAGAGGGCTACCAATCAAACAGTCAGTCTCAGAATGTTTGACATGTTTGACATATATACGCGTTTCGTCTGCCAACTGCCAGCCTAAAGGGATTAAACTCAAGCAGGATTGTTGGTATTGTGAGATTTGGGAAGTTTCAATTGAGATTCCAACCCGTCAGTGAAGCCAACCTAAGCTAAAACGACTAGCAGCAGACTAGGCCGTAAGACGTCCTAGAGCATGTTAACACCTACGTTGCGAACGAGCTTGTCTGCTGGCTAGCAGCACACCCTGTCTGAAGTTCAAATTAACCACGACGGGCACATGGGTGCCATGACGTCCGCAGACAATCTGAAATAGTGCCAGGTGAACCAAGCCCAAATAGGTACAATGCGTAGTATAACAGCGTCCTTGAACCGACAGCTTTTGTGTTAGAAGATCTATACAGCCATCTCTAGCTCTTACTCGTACGAACCTCGAGGCTCCGCCTAAATAGCAGGCCTCTCGAAAAGACGACACATGAGGAGAGGAGCGTTCTGGACTGATTTTGAGGTGATCACTCTCACTTGGTAAGTAGTCCCTCGTGGAGTGGAGCCAGTGTATTAAGTTCGAATATCCGAGAAGGGAGTGCAAACTATTTCCATCAGGAAATGAATGGAACTTACGGTCAACATTGTTGAGTGTATTATGAACTTACTGACGCCATTGAGATCCAGCTATTGAGTTGTGCTGCAAAAATAGAGCGAGTGAAAATAACAACTATAGACCGAGAAAATACTTTAAAAAGTGCAATAAAATAGGATGCCACAAGCGTGTGTCAAGTAGGGGCGAGATGGCCCAAGTGGTTAGAGCCCGAATTTACTGACCGGAAGGTCCGTGGTTCGAATCCGACCTCCGCCACTCGACTTCCCCTGTCTAGGCATGGGCAACCTGGCAGTATCCCGGCCCTCGTGCTTCCTTCGGGTAGCATGGCAGCTAGGCACCGGAAGGGTGTTACAGCTGAACGTGCCAAGTAGACGAGACTTTCATTCGAGTAGAAACAGCAACTTTGCTCATGCCAAGGAGGAAGCGAAACGAAATAGTAGGAAAAATATCACAACAGGCGAAACGAAACTCTCTTCGCACACAGACTGCAATTTTAAAAACAGCAGTCGATCCACAAAATCGCACTCTCAATCTGTATGACCTACTTCTTGGTCGGAATACGATGCCATGGTCTCTGTTGAAAAGTCGAGAGGTGGAGGTCCGGTTTGAAATACGGACCAAACGAATGCATACCCCAACTGGTCAATGTCAGCCAATCTGGATCGAGCGTCTTTAGTTCAACGCTTCTCATCCCCTCAAGGAGATTCTAGCACTACCTCGTGGAACATTTTGTGATGACCCTATAAATACGGTTGTAATAACCTTCTTTGGTTTCCATAAAGGGCTGCCTGAAACTATCGTATCTTCCGATATGTCAAAGTTGGCGGAAGAAGCCAGGGACCTACACAGAGCTGCACAACCGTTCATGAAGTTGAAAAACCTGGCGACAACCCGAAATCATGATGTTGATTTCGGCAGAGCAACTCCAAGTAATTTAACTTTGGCAACAGATGCAGTTCGAAGAAGCACAAATGAGGCAGAAACCACTCAAGACACCAATACTGAAACCTGGATATGAAATAAACACTCACCCCATCCACCCATGACACCTGACAAGACAGTGCTCCAGCCTTGTGAGTGCAACACAACGAAGATCCCTTTGCAGACGCGAGGAAGGGCAGCGCCTGGGGGTCGGATGTCGTCGGACTACATCCACGCACATAGGTATCCACCGGATGACTGGAGAAACGGCGACGTGAGTGCATCGCGATCCTGACCAAACACGAAGAACGAGTACAAAGATGTATCAAAGTCGTGTTTTACATGCGTAAATTCGGTACGAAGAACAATGGTATAGTGATTGTGAGTAGCGATTTCAACGCACCGATTGGGAAAACATAGTCCCCGATTCGTAATCACTGTACTGTATGCAAAAGTGATTATTTCTTAAAGAATGGGACATAGGTGACATAAACAAACCATGGTTCTTTTTATTCTGTTGTCTAGCCACCCGTTTATCGTCCTAAAGATAAACAAAAAGGCAGAGTACACTGCGACGTATCAATTCATCCTAGATCAATTTATGGGCTAAGGTCCGCAAGTCACCACAGCAGGATCGATCAGTAAGTGGTCTATAAAACCGCGGACGACGAAGTTACGCTAAATTGTGTTCAAATAAGGAACGAAAAAGTTGTAGGTCACATAGCAAATTAATCCAGTGAAATACACAGTCGATGAAGTGTAGTACCAACAATTTAGTGGAAAGCCTATTTCTGTCAGCCTTCCTTTCAAAAAGATCTAACTACAGACCCCAACTCAATATCTACTTCAGACAATCTCTACTGCGGTTACCATTATTCAGCTGATGGCCTTGCATCTCAAAGCAAAGCTGAAAACATGGAAATCCACTCTTTCCATCCACTGTTTTGGTGGGTGCACAACACGACAGTTCTGGCTGATAATCGGATCGAGGTCTATTACTAGCGCTTGGCTAGCTTGGTTGAGACCCGTGATGCGACCAATCCTAACACCACTTTTGAAACAGTCCACTAAGCGCTTACCTATCTACCGGGACCTCTTTGATATCACTGTTGTGCCACAGCTGAAAGAGTTGGGATTCAGTCACTCAACACATTTACCCAAAAGCATTCGTGTGCACACTGACGTGAGCAGAGATCAATTCATCATAACGTAAACTTTTACTCCACAGTCTTTGATTTCTCCATATCGTTCATTTTTAGTCGTAAAACTCTGGACCTGCATTGATTACAAGGGGACGCGAAGACATCAATATTCGCCCACTGGTATTTTCAAACCCAATTGCTGGTTGCACCGAGAAATCAGTTCATAGCAAGACCAATGATTCATGACATAGAAAGCCATTTGGTATTGGTGTATAAAATACTAGGTAATAAGTGAGCTGAATTCGTGCATAAATGGAGGGAAATTCTACAGAGAAAAGTTTCGCATGCGTAGATATGAAGCACCAGCCTGCATTTCGCAACAGTGAGAAGACAATAAAGGACAGGGGAGTTGGGCTAGTCCAAGCTTTCAATCACTGTTGACGAAGTGTCGAATGATAAAGCCGTCGAGAACACTGATGACCAATAAAGTCACAACGAACTAACCTCATACAATACGCGTTGTTCAACCAACGGGAAGAACTGTACGTGACATCCGTCTACAATCGGGTTAAACGCCAGAAGTTTATCATCATGCATATTACTGTCTCAGCAAAAATTCTTTGAAATGAGACAAAAAGTTACCGGTCGCTCAGTTGCACTCTCAATGGGTCAGGTTATGAATAAGCCTACGATGAATCACTCATGACAACATTTTCCGTCATCATCTGTTACATCTGACAGCTGTTCCCGTTCCAGTGCCTAGTATCGGAAAAAGGCTGGCTGATAAGGAACGTAACAGCTTTTTTGCGAACAAGCGAGTTCGTAGTGCGAAAATGCAACTACTTCAAGCTATTTTAGTGGAAAGACGCTATCTGACATTGGTCCAACGCTGTCTCGCTTTGAGACAATACTGTCACAAGCTGCGTACTGAGGGGGCATTGTCTGTCTGGTCAGCGCCTAGTGGGGTTAAGGGCCTCAGTAGACCTCGGACATCCAGTGGTTACTTTCAGGAATTTGACCTTCTGATATTATCACGCGTTGTTTTTAAATGCGCTGCACTTCGGGGCGGATAATTACTGCCACGAGAGAGGGAAAATGCACCAAACACACTAGTGATCAAGCACACGAACTTGTATTCAGACTCAAATGGTGGGACTCATGATTTAATCTATACCGTTCTCAGTACACTAGTTTTCATCCATATTCACCACAATATGACCGACAGCTCGCGCGCTACGGCAGTGCCTATCCGACACTAAACGGGATCACACACGTCAAGGCTACTAAACATGTCCCCATAGCGAATTTCGGCTAAGCGAACCCAAGTTTAACGTCGAGATAATGGCAGCCTAATTTACAAAAACCATCGACCGCGTATGAAACCCTTTTGCTGATCCAAATGAAACCACTACGCAAAAACTTGATTTCAATCGCCCACAACAGGCGATAAATTTTAAAGGAGACTTTGTCCCTTAAGTGAATTCAATCTATGCTGAAAAGCCTAGCACTTTATAGCTGTTTTAGCCCTATTAGGAATCATTAGTAGTGCGCATCTTACGAACCTCCAGGGTGTCTCGAACTCGAAACGCCCGGGTTGGTGGTTTTTAGTGAATCCAGGCAACGAAACCTCTTAGATCCTCAGCATACTTTAACATCCCTTAGAGACTGACTCATGAAGAACCAGTTGGAATAAGTTGGCCCTTTTCAGCTTGACTAATTATCGCACCCTTTTCGTCCATCCTAATCTTGTGCGGTGCGGGTCGACAGCTGATAGACTAATTTTAAGTCACGCAGTATGAGCCCAAGGAGACCACTGCTGAATTTTCCGCTTCGATGGGAACTCCAAAGAGTACCGGAGGAAAAAAGTCTGCATGCACACGTCTAGGCACGACAAGTGTACGACGACGTGCACGAACAACGGCGAAAATGTAGGACATGACACGCTCACTTGTTCTAGCATTTACGCAACTACCCGTTGAATACGCAGACTGGGAGGACGGGGATAAAAACGAAAGCAGAGAAAGTCGGAGAAATAATCTAACTGAAGAATATAAGCGACGATTAGAACAGTGTCGCCGGACATCCTCAAGGATACGAACGGAAACAGGGGTGGACATGTAGTTCACGAAGTGTTTTCACAGGGATCATTTGCCAGGCTCCCAAGTGCAATACACAAATGATCCAAGGTCGAATTCGACATAAGTCAGCCCCGTGGGGGTTTGTACAGAGGGCCGATAGTCCATCTTATGGTTGTAATTCGATAGCGATGACATTGTCAATTGCCTACCCATATTTATGAAATGTCATTGCAAACGGTATAGTTCATTTCACTTTGCTTCAAAATCCGTCTAGCTTGCCGGGAAAAGCACTGCGATTTGAACCACTGATTCACACACCGAAGCATCAGTGGCCACCCCGAAAAGCTGTGAACAAGCATAATTGCAATTGCATTAATTGCAATCGCCATTTAATCATAAAACACGTATACTGATGCGCCAATTTGCCCTTGAAGGAGAATGAGAATAAATCCTGCCACACACACTCACCACTTTCGCCTCTCGAACTCAGCTTGAGCGAAAGACATCCCACAAGGCAACTTGCTCTCAATGTCTGTCATATCTGATGGAGTGCCCAAACGCATCCAACTTTTTGTGAGGGTGCCGGATGTAGAAGCCTGGGGAGGTGAAAAATAAAAAAAGGTGGAAAAGTAGGTAGGGGGGTGAAAATACCGTATATCAACTTAATGGGGGATAGAGAGTTAAAATATCGGAAATCAAAATGCTGTAAGAGTTTGTGGGCGACATACATGTACCGACAGACCTGAAACGTAGAAATGCGGCAAGTGAACCTATCAGAACAGAATGACAGCAACGAAACTGTATGGAATGTCCCTACCATCTTGTTACCTTAGTGCGGGACCCCCAAACACATCACTACTCGTCCTATTCCTGTGTCCCTGTAATTTTTTTTTCGGAAAGGAAACGCCCAATCGGATCACAGTACACGTTATAAGGCTTCATA